GAGAAGAAGATTGCTGTACTTATTGTGTATGTTGATGACATCATTCTTACTGGTGATCATACTGAAGAATTGACAAAGCTGAAGAAGTTCCTAGCCCATGAATTCGAAATCAAGGACCTCGGAGACTTGAAGTTCTTCTTGGGAATGGAAGTTGCAAGATCCAAAATGGGGATAGCCGTAACTCAAAGGAAGTACACATTGGACCTATTGAAAAAAACTGGTATGCTTGGATGCAAACCAATAGACACTCCAATAGACCCGTATAAAAAGATTGGAATGGAGAATAATAACTTACCTGTCGACAAAGGACGATATCAGCGTCTTGTTGGAAGATTTATCTACTTATCCCACATCAGACCAGACATAAGTTTTTCAGTAAGTATAGTAAGTCAATTCATGAACTATCTTACTGAGGAACATATGAGATCTGTCAACCGTATCTTAAGATACTTAAAGATGACACCTGAGAAATGATTATTATTCAAAAAGAATGATAGTCAAAAGGTAGAAGTCTTTACTGATGCTGAATGGGCAGGAGATATATCCACCTGACGATCAACCTCTGGGTATTGCTCGTATGTATGCGGCAATCTAGTGACATAGAGAAGTAAAAAGCAATCAGTGGTATCTCGGAATAGCGCATAAGCAGAATACATAGCACTGATGCTTGGTATCTGTGAAGGAATGTGGATCAAAAGATTTCTCAAAGAGCTTGAAATTATGAGCGAAAATTCTATAAAGATGCTCTGTGACAATCAGGCTGCAATCAGTATCACAAAGAATCCTGTTCATCATGACCGAACGAAACACATTGAGATTGATCAAAACTTCGTTTCAGAGAAGGTGGACAATGAAATCATTGAATTGGTCTATACTCCTTCTAGGTCCAAACCGCAAACATTCTCACCAAGACTCTTTCTAAGTCCAGTTTTGATGAACTAACCAACAAGTTGGGCATGTACAATCTGTACAACCCACCTTGAGGGGGAGTGTGGAATTACGCTCATTATTATTTACTTTGATTCTATTTAGTACTTGCTATATTTAATCATAATATAAAAAGAGTAATTCCTTAATTATAAGTATTTATGTTTATTCCATAATTATAGGAATTACTTTATTGTACGAAGATTTCTTTCCTCATTTTATTTCTTGTACTCGCCTATTTATAGATGAATTATCTATGTATTCTGTCAGAACAAAGTATTATTCAAAATTCACAAATCATAGTTTTTTTTTTTATTTAAGAACTTGTTCTAATTCAACTCAATGCCAACTTTAATGGAGATTTGTACGTAGGATAAACAAAGTGAGATACTTGATATATACTTTTTAGAAATTTTTTAGTTTCAATTGTTGAAAAATCCTTTGAAATAAGTGAAGACTAAGAGCAATAAAGAAAATATTTAGAAGATAAATGACTTCGAATAATTCAACAACAATTTAGTATATAATATGCAATTTTAGTAGGTGTGATATCAACAATTAGTGATATCAACAATTATCCATAATATGAGTAGAAGATAAACTAATCTCTAGGTACTTTGGTTTAAATATCCTGGATGCATTGTAAAAAAAATTGAGGATAACTAATGAGTCTTTTAGACTTGTGGTAGTATTGTTAAAACCAAAGTGTTTGAGAACTGCTGTGGTTTGAAAGTATCATGGAAACTTTTAGATAAAGTTTATGAAATTACTGTTACACCTTCTATCTTGTGTGGATTCGTGCATTGGGCGGTAAACAATGCATGAAAAATTTTAAAGCATGGTTTGATAAATGAGTGTACTTAAGGCACACTGAAAATAATAAATCATAGTGAAAAATAAGTATAATATAGCTATGGGGAACAATAGATAGAAAAGGTACTCATAAAACGGGTGGATAAAATTAAGAGCAAAGTATTAGAAAGGAAATGTGGTAGATCAAATGTCCATGGATAGAAATTGTGAAACAAAAGCAACTAGGTTTGGTACCTTCGTTTCTACTTTCACTAGGGATGTTTTCAATAAAGGATTTTCAATTTTTCCTTGGCCGGCTAGCTTGAAGATTGTTATGCTAAAATAATTTCAAACCTTTCTTAGCCATATAATTTGCTTATGGTACTCTGTTCTTGTGTGGAGCTGATTTGAAATAACAGCTTGTTCTAAAGCTATCATCGCAATGTCTGTATTTGTTTCACGCCCAAGAGTGAATTATTCTAAACTTACTTTGATCTTTCCCTTCTCTTCACAATTCCAATTTTTTTTAAGATGCTCCCACCAAATGAAAGCATTCTTTTTCAATTTGATGGCCATTAACTTGATGCTTCGATTGGTTGACACTTCTTTATAATTAAACACATGCTTTTTGGTGTGCAACCAATTAATTAAGCCATTCAGATTTAAGCCACTTTTAAAATTTGGGATATTTATATTGGCTCAAAATCTTGATAATGCCTTTTTGGCTCCCTCTGTCACTCCATGGAACATGTTATTGGTGCTCCTTTGAAGATTCTCGTAGCATTTTATTAAAATGATTCTCCCTCTCCCAATTTTGCTTCTTTAAAATTTTCATCTCCCAATTTTTCTTTTTTTAAATTTTCATCCGAATTTAAAGAATAAGCCTCTCAGTTTTTTTTTGGTACATTAAAAGTCATCATTCTCACGACATTTCACATTGCAATTTTTATATCATGACCTTTTGAATAGGATGTTGGCGGTTCTTTGTTGCTATCATTCTTTTTGGGTTTTGATCCTACTTGATACCGGGAGGAAATGTCAAGAAACTGCTGGAGTATGAAAAGAATTTCAAGAACCTTGAGTCGTCCATCAATCAAACTACTCAATGATCATTCGTTGCACTCTCAATTCATAGCGGTGGCTTGAAACTATTTTTCACTTGAGCTAAAGCAGATCCAGGCCGCCAAGGACATGCTAGCAACTTAGAAATACTTTTGGCCGTACCAATGCCCTTTCACTTCGTATGCTTTTTGCAGGCTCCTTTCATTTTAGATTTTTAGTATGTTCCTGTAGTTGATATGGAAAAACCTTGCATTACGATCTTAAATTAATGAGCATTGCCAAAAACGCACATATTATTTACCTTGTTTTATGTTCATACAACTTGGTTAATTGCTTAAGTTTAGATTTTTATGGCCAGCACTTCTATTAAGATGATCATGTGACCATATCAAATTTATAGTCGGTTGTATTCCAACCATGCCCATTGAGTGGACTGCCTGCAAAGGGAAATAACTCGGGATAAGATGAGCGAATGAAAACTAGAAGTTAAGCAAGTTTTTCTTCTTTTGGGTGAAAAACATTGTGAACCTCAGGAGGTTTAGATTTTTTTTTTCTCTGAAATACACTTGAATGATTAGATAATTTTTAGGCTTTATATATTAGTATTATGCCTTTTTTGTTTGTGTCGCGTTAAACTCATGTTTTAATTTTTATAAAATCTAAGGTGAGAGATGGTGATTACTCGTATGGCGATCTCAATGAAGTCTCTTCTTTCATTCCCCATCAGAAAGTTTTGCTGGAGGTATTGCTTTTGTTTACGGTTGAAGATATCTATATCACTTCATATGTTCTCATCTGCGTGAATGAGTGCAAAAAATTGCTTTTTTAGAATTTTAATTTTGTTTATACTTTAGCCTAATCTATCTGCTTTATGATTGTTTTATTGACTGATAAATTCTCGTTGTCTGCTCCATCTTCTTAAAATATCCTGCTCATTAGATTTTGGCTTGTTGGCTTATTAGAGTTCGAATTACCTTTGAAGTTGAGCTTTTAATTTTATGAAATTTGTTCTTTGTTTTAACTTTGAAGGATCAAATAAAATGTTCTGTGCATGTATGCTTTACTTGCAGGTCAACTCACCTTTTAAGTGCGGTCTCTTTATGTCAGGAAAAGAGGCCTAACTCTGCCTTTCGGTGTAGAATGTCTCAAGACCTTGAGAAAACTTGCAAGGAGATGGGAAGCAAAGCTGGTATGCTGGTCTTAGCTTCAGAACGCTACATTGAGGAATCAATTAAGGCAATTAAAGCTGGAAAGATTATAGCAGTTCCGACGGATACACTTTATGGATTGGCTTGTGATGCATGGTATGTGGTTGGAAATTTGTGTTTTTGTTCAACTTATATTGCATTTTGTAAACCTAGTATATTTAGAAATAAAATTCTCAAACTAAATCAGAATTTTAAAATGGGATTGCCTGTAATGTGCTCTTTCTAAATGTATATAATTTTTTCATTTTGTGCATTTTCTAGTAAGATGTGCCTTGCGTAATCATGAAAAATTTGTCTTATTTCTATTTAGTTCTTTTTTGTTACCTTTAAATGAAAATTATTACATTTAAAGAATGATGATTTAGGGGACATTTATTGCTTAAATTTCTGTTAAACCCCCTTTTACTGGAAAATCCTTTTGTTTGTTGCTTCTATGGGTTTGAGCGAGCTGTGCTGGCTCAAATTTAGCTCAGTAACGAGTTTGTGAGTAAAGCTCATCAAGGTATGAGCTCGAGCTTGAGCTAAGATTTGAGCTCATATATTAAATTGGATTTGGTCTAGTGATTGAATTCTGAACTAAAGTGAAGTTTAAAATCCTGCCTCACGAACTCCTCTTATTGATCGCACACCTTAGTTCTCGATGATGCTTTATCCAGTGAACTCCTTTTCTTCATCATGCACTGTTTGTCCCTTGTTTCCTTCTACAACAAACTCCTCTTCATCATCATGCACCGCTAGTCCTAATGATGCCTTCTACTGTAAACTCCTCTTATTTGGAAAATGCTGCTAACGGGGTTGATGCCTTCTCCTGCCCATCCTATTGATGTCTTCTCGAGTGAGATGTGATTTTGGTTCGAGCGAATGAGTCGAGCTCAAGCTCATTGTTCCTTTGGCAAGCTGAACTCGAGCACAACTAATAAGTTCGATTTATGTTCAAGCTTGAATTAGTCGTGACTCGAGCCTGACTTTGCTTGAGTCATTTACACCCACTAGTTGCCTTACATCAACATGAATTTAAATAAGATCTCATAAATGATTTCAGTTATTAATATAGTTTGAAGCATTTAAATGTATATTAATATGAAGTTTTTTTTCTTTATTGATGTTGACATCAGCTTGAAGGAAATGCTTTGAATGATGTTTTGAAAAATCAATGCATATTAATTCAATCACATGTTCCCTACACCTTTCTTTACTTGCACTCTACCATTCTTTGTTCTTGCCACGTTGAAGACACCTGAATTTAAAAATCAAGGAATTTTGAACCAATAGATCAAGTACTCCTGAACTGTAATCTTTAAGAGAAGCCAGTGATGTCAAGCACTTCGCTCTTGTTTTGTGGACTTAGTTATTAAGCTCCTCCAACCCGCTCGAGTTATCTTATTTCACTGGGTTTTAATGCTTCATTTGTGATGGAGATTTTCTAAGGTTCACATCAATTTATGGAGTTTCAAGTGAAATTTATGTCTGATCGACGACCTTCTATCGCAAAAACTTTGTGATGCTTTTTTGTAGCTTTTATACTACACAAATATTATGGCTTCCATTGAGTTGCAGCTTCAATTTGATTGAAATTGGGATCTTTGATCTTATTATTATAAGCAATGTTCTTAATTTTATACCAAACAACCTAGTTATTTCAAAATAAACTTCTAGTTGGAAGTGCTATTTCTTTTGAGTTTAATTCCTGTTCAAGTGGAAGACTATATATTTTAGGAAAAGGTTATTTTTTTATAAAAGCATGAGGCTTGATTGTTGATTTTTATACTTCTATCTTATTTCTTTTCTAAATCTTATGGTTCCTTTAGGTGTATGATCAAATTTATTCAAGTTTAATTTTCTATAAGCTCATAGTTGTTAATATCTGGCTCGAGGACTTTGAATTTTCAAGATGGAAATAGACAATTATATTGTAAATTACAAATTTAATTCATTTCCCAGCTCTAACAATTAATCTTCTAAATAATTGAATGAGCCACTAATAAATAAAATTTATTATAATCTTAAACATAAAACAATTGAGTAGAAATTACTTTTTTTATTATTTGATTTGATTACTGTAGATGTTTTCTCTTATATTGCTTATTTTTTAGTCTAAAATTTTATACTTCAAATTGTTAGGGTAAAACATTATAAGTTATAACAATCCAATGAATACTCATACATCTAAGTAACAATATAATAACAAAAATTGAAGTTAATATATATGTTAGTCAAATATAATAAATTAGTTTAAAATCAATTGACATTTATTTTCTAATTTAATCATTTAAAAAGGTTCAATACATTTATTATATTATACTTTATCATTTTCATATGTATAATATTTTATATAATATATTCGTCATAGGAGCACCGTTTAAATTTGTGGAAGTAGAAGTATATCATTATCATTTTCTAATTAGTTTTTGAGTTTTCAATTGGTACCATAAGTGTTAAACTCTTTCGTATTCAACATATCAAACAATCATTCTATATAGCTCGTATCAATCATATTTTCATATTATTCAAATTTGTATATATATATATATATATTAAGTAATATATGATAGTTATATAAAAGGGCTTATAAATTGGGATCAAATCGTGCAATTGAATTGTACAAGTATCAGTGAATACCCATGTATTCGATTTATAAGAAATAAAAATATTATCATAACTTAGAAATAAGATTATTGATCTAATCTCCAGATAATTTAATTTTTAGTCTTCTTACTCTTTCGTCTTTACGTTCTTAATCTAATGTCTATAGGAAATGTTAAATTTATATTTAGTTAAACTTTTATATCTAAACTATTATCGATCTATAAATTTCTAATGTTATTTTCATTTAAATATATGATATGCAAGTTGTACATTTCTTTTTACTTTGCTATTTTACACTTCAATTCTGCAATTTTAATATTTTAAAAATAATTAAGATATAAAATTTAAATTCTATTCCAATATTTTATCATAATTTTACAAAGAATAATTATTCTTTCTTGGTTTATATAGAAAATACTCCTATCCTAATATTTATCAATTTTTAAATATGTTTGTTTCTTTAATTTTTAAATTAAATAAAAGTTACCTTAAAATATCTTTTAAATCTCTTGAAACTCTATACTAGTTTGTCTATCGATTCAGCTCATAGTTTTCTCTTATATGCATGGTTCAGTCCTCTCACGGTCACAGGTTGTTGTTCCTGCTCAAACTTCTCGATCACCGCTCGAACTCACCAGATCACAACACCTTGTAATCAACCTGAGAGTTTTGCCTTGCGATCGCCCTCCGTCCGTGTTTCTATTCACTCACCACTCATACGCAGAGTCTCACTCACTCTAGTTTACTTGTCTGCTATGGCCTTCTGGTCATGCGTTGCTTTCTTTGCTCTTGTCGTCATGCAAGCTCACGCTATCATCACTAGTGATTGATTCAAGACTTGGAGATTTTGCTCGACCACTTTCCGGAGCCCGCACACTAATAGGGCTCTCCTTCTCCTGCACTTGTCTTGTTCGTTGATGTTTTTTGCTCAATCTTAGTCTTGCTCATTAGCATGCCCAATGTCTCCTAGTCTCTTCTCCTCTCCGTTTACCTCGCGCTTGATTTATGTTTCTTGTTATTTGCTTCGTTTTTTTCAGTGGCTCGCATCTCTTATAAAGACAAATCGATCCCACCTACTTGTTTCATAGCATTCTTTGTCTCCTACTTTGTCTCTCAGTTGTCTGTTCAAAAGGTTTTTTGACCTTGAAAAAGAATATTAATTAATTAGTTAATATTAAAAAAAAGGTCTTTAACTGTTCCCATCCCATAATATAGAAACTAATCTCGCTCTTCTCATTTTGGTATCAATATACAATTGAATTCAAAAAGATTTACAGGGAGGCAGGAGGAAAAAGGCCCCCTTGTGCCCTAACTCGAAACTTCCAACCTCCCTGTTCACACCTATCTCCACACCGATTCCTCCTTAAAATACACGCGGCCCAATCTCCATCACCACACGCGCCTCATCTGCATCCTGTAACTCTCCTTGCCCTCCAAGCTGTGACACTCCCTCTCTACACTAATCCGCATTCAAGAGACGAGCGGCCTTCCCTGTGCCGTGTCTCCCTAACCTTCTCCTGTCTCCTCTCCTATTCACGCGAACAAAATATCGGAGGTTGACGCCAGGAGGCTGAGAAAATTTTGAATTAATTTGGACTTGTAAATAATATAAAAATATAGACTGTTTGGACTTTAAAAATGTTATAAAATTAAAAGAAAATGTAATTTAAGTCAATTTGAGAGAATAAATTAAATTCCCTTGAGACTTGCACAAGTCATGAAAAAAATTGAATGACTCGTCAATTGATATAATTGGACTTGTTTTTGGCTTCAAATTCGATCATATTTGAAGATGATTAAATTATTTATATATATATATATATATATATATCTTGATGTAAAAAAATATGTATGTGATCTATTTGAAAACATAAATTCGGGTTATGCTTGATTGGATTGAATCTTAGGGGGCTCACAACTCATAAATCGGGTGTAAGTTTAAGTCACATATGTTATTTTTAAATGCAGAAATGAAGAACTAATATGTCAAATCGCCTCGAATTCGCAATATGTTTGCAAATTAATAGAAGGCGGTAAAATGCTTAAAATGAAAACTTGTATACAAGTTATTTGATTTAGTTCACGTTTTGAAATCATTAAAACACTAAATAGTCCAACTAAAATAATTCAAATACATAAATTAAAGGCCCGCATGTGCTCCAACCAATGTATTGAATGCTCACGTATTAGGTTTGAGAATGTTGCGCATGCTAAGTTGATTGTGTCTATAGAGCAGGGTTGCAAGTCTCACCCTACTATTCTGATCCTCCTCCTAGTAAGGATTGGAATTACAAGTCTAATAACCTTGAAATAAACGTCTAAATCCTAAAATAAGAATTTACAAGTTCAAATCACCTAGTTTGATCTTCCTGCATATAAGGATAAAAATTGACAAGGCTTATATTTTGAAAAGATTAATCTAGCAAATCTAAATGTCCCTCTTCAAATATAAAAGTTTTAAATCGTTTAGTTCCCCGATGATAGTTGTGTTGATTGGAGATTTCAACCGG